CAGAGCACTGGAACAGGCTGCCCAGGGAGGTTGTGGAGTCTCCTTCTCTGGAGATATTCAAACCCCTCCTGGATGAAGTCCTGTGTAGCATGCTCTAGGTGAGCCTGCTTTAGCAGGGGGGGTGGACTAGATGATCTCCTGAGGTCCCTTCCAACCCTTACGATTCTGTGATTCTGTGTGATTCTGTGAAACCAGCAGGGAAAGGACCTCCTGAACTGGGGCGTCACTGGTGTAGGTGCAGCCAGGGCAGGAGGAGCTGTCGGCGAGCCCTGGGTGAGGCACCCTGGCCAGGAGGTGCATATGTGGAGCACCCCTTGGGCGTTGTGTATTGGGAGGCTGGGGAGTGAGCTGTTATTTTGTTGACTTTTTTTTTTTTCTTTTTTAATTAAACAGATTCCCATAGACTCTTTGGAGGGAGCAGAAAGACAATCTGTGGGTAAAAAAAACCAATCAGCTCTTAAAAAGTTGGGTTTAATTACAACGATGCCACTTACGAGAGACAAATTGATAGGTGGTTATATTTGTCATGTTTAATTTCAATGAAAAAAATCACTTGTTTTAACAAATACAAAGCCAAATGGTGTTTATAGAAGGTATTTTTATCTGGAGTGTTAGGATATATATCAAGCTGTAGCTACAAAAGAGGTTTGAAAGGACTTCACGTCACACTTGCTGGACTAAAGCCCTTTTCAAACCAAGCTTTTCTTTTACAAGTTAGAATAGTGTATGCTTTTTAAGACTAAGAAAGCAAATCAGGATTATATATTATCTTAACTTCATATACTGCTTAACCAAATAATTTTTTAGCCGGGCCTTAAAATAAATAGGCTTTTCCTTTCTTTCTTTTTTTTTCTTACTATATACCAAAATGTTCCGTTTCTGATCTTAGTACCGATGCAGAGCTGCTGGCAAGATATGAACATCCATGAGCGCTCACTGCAGGTGGAGGCTGCTGGGTTTGTCATGGCAGCAAACCAGACCATTAGGGTGCCTGAAAAGCTGGAGGCTTTACTACAGCAAACCTTCTACTCCATGATTAAGTTAGGTAACCAGTGATAGAAACAGTCCTGATCAGGTGATTTAGTTGAATTAAATGCTTGGACTCTGGTCTGCAACTTCCAAATACGGAGCTATTTGGAAATCCATGCACAGTTTCTTAGTTGCTGTCCATGTTTTTGCCGAACTTCTCAGTAACAGCATGTTTTTAAGGAGCGGGACAGTTAAAAACAGGGTTGGACTCAATGTCCAACCAGGACTTTCCAAGAATAGTCTGTCTTATACGCCCAGATTGCAAGAGAACGAGACCTTTGTAGTGAAATGCCACGATGCCAGAAGGTGACTTACCCACTCGGTGCCTGGGGGCGTGGGGGAGACTGAAAGAATATAGGATCGGAGAATCACAGAATTGTTTGGGTTGGAAAAGACCTTTAAGATCATCAAGTCCAACCATTCCCCTAACCCTGCCATCTCACCACTAAACCCTGGCCCTAAGCACCTCATCTGCCCGGCTTTTAAATCCCCCCCAGAGATGGGGACTCGACCCCTGCCATGGGCAGCCCCTTCCAGTGCTTGACAGCCCTTTTGGGGAAGACATTTTTCCCAATGTCCAACCTAACCCTGCCCTGGCACAACTTGAGGCCGGTGCCCCTCGTCCCATCGCCCCTTCCCTGGGAGCACCCCCCCGGCTCCTCCCTCCTCTCAGGCAGTTGTAGGGAGCGATGAGGGCTCCTCTCAGCCTCCTCTGCCCCAGGCTGAACCCCCCCAGCTCCCCCAGCCGCTCCCCAGCAGCCTGGGGCTCCAGACCCCTCCCCAGCTCCGCTGCCCTTCTCTGGACACGCTCCAGCCCCCCCAGGTCCTTCGGGGAGGGAGGGGCCCAACCCTGACCCCAGCATTCGAAGGGCGGCCTCCCCAGTGCCCAGGACAAGGGCATGGTCACTGCCGTGCTCCTGCTGGCCACACTATTTCTTTCTATATTATTCTTCCTGGAAGATACCTGGTTTTCTGGGGAAATAAGCTGTGCAGGAATAGGGAACAGGAGCGTAGGGTACAGGGCTGTTGACTAAGTTGGGCAGGACATTGGGAACGATAGCTTTTATGCAACAAGGAACCAAGGGCCGCAGTTGCGTTGTGCATCTTTTCCCACCAGAGGAAAAAATCTGGTGGCACTGAGATACATTAATATGGCTTATTTAGGACTTTTCAAAGCAAGATGGCATTACTCATCTCCCTGCTGTACTGACAAGGATGCTGGAAGCTGCGATGAGTCCAGTGCTCGTTTGCTTGACACTTTTTCTGCTGCTGACTCCGAAACCTGAAGCCAGCGCTCCCTCCAGAATATCTACTGTATGGCTTGGGGGTGCTGGGCTCCCTGCTGAGCTCCCCACGGCAGGGCAATGTATGTTGGCTCCCTGGGAGGGTACCACGGCAGCCAGCCAGGCAAACTGCTGGATATCAGCATTCCCTCATTGCACCGAGCTCCTGGCAGGAATCCCAAAACACTTCGATTTCAACAGATCTCTGCTATTTTGTTCTGGGTTTTCATCAAAACCTTTTTAAATGGAGAAAACGCCAGCCGGCCAAAGCTAATCCTGATTTCTATTTTCAGCTCCAACTCTTGCTAAAACCTCCGCCTGCTTGTTCATGTGTGAAAGCGGTGCCCGAAGTCTGTACAGAGCCCAACGCAAGAACAGGCAAAAAGGATTGAAAATGGGAATGATGATACTTCCTTCTCCAAGCTGTTGCAAAGGCTTTGTTAATCATTTCACAGTGCTTTAGGCGTAGGGTTGGATGTGTGGATGCTCGCTCAGTAAAATGTGTATCCAACACTGACGGTCCTTGTGCCATTCATATTTATCATCAGTAATGATTCAGGCTCTTGAAAAAATCATGTGCAAATTACATGTTCTATAGCTTTAATTTCCCGTTGCTAACAAGGGAATGATTTGCAATTTCTTGTTTGTCCTCCTCTGTGCCGTAGCCTGGAAGCATCAGTCACCACGCTCACAAGCAAAGCTGCCTTTTTTGTGTTGTCTAGTTTCTACATCTCATGGCTTTCCGCGTTTCTCTCTAAAACCGACTTTCCGTGAACCTGAACGCATGTGTACCCTAGGGTAGGGTTTGAAGCAGATAAGCCTCTCGGAGACGTAGTTACATAGGACCAATATATGTTTATTGCAGTAGAACAAGAGGATCAGTCTGTGATGTTTGAGAACCATGGTTTTCCCCCAAAACCCCTCCTAGAAACCTATAGCCAGACAACTGGTTTTCTTAGCATCGTTTATATTGAATGTTCAAATTCTGGCTCTGCCTGTCTTGTTGGTGCTTTTTCCTCCTCCTGTATCTTCCCTTTACCTGAGATGAGGCTTTTTATTCTTTAGCAGCATCGTTTCGTTCTGATTCCTTTAGAATAAATCACAGTAGGTGCAGTATGGTTGGAGGAGGGGCGGGACAGAAACCTGCATCTCCTTGTAGCCAAGCAGTGGGCAGAATAACGAAAGGCTTGATGAGTTCAAGTAGGCTTTATGAAGATCCAAAAGCAATTTGGGGATGTTTTCCCAGAACCCATTTGGGCTGTCACTGTAGTATCTGAGCATATCCATTTTTGTGGATTTATCTTCCCCGTCCCCTGCAATGACGTAGGAACGCTGTTGCTTGCTTTGATAAATGGAGAAGAGAGAGCATGACTTGTGTAGGGTTATGTGCCAAGCTTGTGGCAGAGATGTGCGTTGATTCCAGATCATGCATGGCTCAGGCTCCTTCCAGCCTCCTTAGGTTAAAAAAGGAGCTGAACTTCTGACACAGGAGAAACGTTCAGTGCTGTGAAAAGGTAGAGAAACAAGCAGTAAGGGAAGTACAGCCGCCTGAGTGTCACTGTTGTGCTAATGGACCCCTAGTGAAAACCAAATACCTTGCTATTGCTCATCTCAGAGGATGCTGCTAAGTACTTCAAGCACAGCTGTCATTTGTTTAAGGGTTTATTTCAATTTAATGCTTTGGGCTGTGTGGTATAGCAGTTCTAGGGTCACCACCAGTCCTGCGTGGTGGTTGCTGTTGGGTCTGGAGGGGAGAGATGAACCACCGGAGTCAGCCACGGTCAACCAAGCTGTTGCTGCTGACCATAAGATTTTGCTCATCTTCCCAGCCTAAGTGAACGGACAGTCATGCCCATCCTAGATGCATGCTCGAGAAGCTGGTCAGTGTAGTATATGAACATACAGGACCATGAACAGGAGTGATAAAATGTTGATATTAAACTTTCTTTTCCCTACCTTCTTGAAACAGCTGGTCAAAGGGCTGCAGCAGGAGCTGAACAGGCTATACACACTTTTCTGCTCCCGGAATCCAGAGTTTGAGGAGAAAGGAGGGAAAGTCTCGATTGTGTCCCACTCGCTGGGCTGCGTCATCACCTACGACATCATGACTGGCTGGAACCCGGTCAGGCTTTACGAACAGTTGCTGCAGAAGGAGGAGGAGGAGCTTGAAGACCCTTGGATGAGCTATGAGGAGCAACGTTTACTTGAAGAACTTTACATAACTAAACAACGGTAATGCATCCACTTCTCATTATTAAAGGATAAAACCACATCCCTAGATGACACCCTTTGAGTGTTTCCAGAACCCACCATGGCTGTTATCGTTTGTGGCTGATGTTCTGCTGGTGGTGAATGGCAGTGGTAAATGCTAAACACAGGACTGAGCAGGCACAGGGAGCTGGCACTGCTATAGGAGCTCTGAATCCATGTCCTATGAGCTGTACCAGAACCAAGCGACTAGCTACTGCTCGCTGACCAGATGCGCTGGGAGCAGATCATAGCCAGGAAGAAAAGGAGGAGGTCAGGCCATTACCCCTCCAGATACTTGAGGAGAAACACAACCAAGTAGCTTGCGGGTGGGCAGTGAGCTGTAATACTGAGCAGAACCTGAGCAATGAAAGTCCTAAGTCTCTAGAGGAAAATCGGAAATTTTCTCCTAGCTTCAGCTTGGAAACTGAGTTCCACCAGCTGGACACAGATGTTGTGATTGGGTTTATGGGGTTGCTACTCTGCTGCGGACCATTTACAGCTTCTTCCTGCTGCCTTCTAGAAATGTTGATGCTGTTGGGAGTGTGAAGCAGCACTGCCCACTGTGACAAACAGGATCTGGGTTTCAGCACCTTGCAAGCGTTGGTAGGGATTCTCAGTGTTAGGGGACCTCGTAGATCATCATGATGTCTCCCCAGTGTTAAGGTGACTTCCCTGTTCTAACCTGGATATCAAGGTGCTACGAGACACCCATAGATAGAGAATCCAATAATAGCAGCTTGAGCTTCAGTCTTTCCAGTGGGAGGTGAGGATAAATCATGGTTGCAGTTCTTTTTGGTTCCTTCTTGAAACCTGTCTTAGTATTGGCGGTACCTTGGAAGCATTAATATGGCATCAGATCTCCTGCAGTGCTTGAAATCAGTACGTGTGTGTTGTGGTTTAATCCCAGTTGGCAATCAAGCACCACACAGCTGCTCGCTCACCCTCCCCACCTCCCCAGTGGGATGGGGGAGAGAATCGGAAGGCAAAAGTAAGAAAACTTGTGGGTTTAGAAAGAACAGATTAATAATTGAAAATAGAAAAGTAGTAATATTCGAAATAATAATAATAATAATAAAGACAGAGAGAGGAGCAAAACCCAGGAAAAACAAGTGATGCAACCACTCACCACCCACTGACTGATGCCCAGCCCAGCCCCGAGCAGTAATCACTGCCCCCTGGCCAACTTCCCCCAGTTTATATACTGGGCATGATGTCATATGGTATGGAATAGCCCTTGGGCCAGTCTGGGTCAGCTGTCCTGGCTGTGCCCCCTCCCAGCTCCTTGTGCACCTCCTCGCTGGCAGAGCAGGGGAAGCTGCAAAGTCCTTGACTTAGTATAAACAGGGCTTAGCAACAACTAAAACATCAGTGTGCTATCTCATTCTTCTCATGCTAAATCCAAACCACAGTGCTGTGCCAGCTACTAGGAAGAAAATTAACTCTATCCTAGCCAAAACCAGGACAGTGTGTAATCAGGACATCTCTATCAGCTGCAAGGCTGGATAAAGCATGATCTTTCTGAGCAAAGGGAAATAAGAAACTTAATAAGGTTGTCCAGCGGTAAGATGACCCTTCAGGCATATCACTAGCAAATGATCAGGGAAAAATTACCATTTTCACACTCACGCTCCAGCTGCTTAGGCATCTTCTGAAGTGTGTCATAGAATCATAGAACCGTTTAGGTTGGAAAAGACCTTTAAGATCATCAAGCCCAACTGTTACCCTAACCCTGCCATCCCACCACTAAACCACATCAGGTTGCATCCACAGCAATCCAAATAACGTTTGACACTGGCACATCTGTGTAGCTAGAGTGGCTCTCCATTTTGTGAGCCACCTTAGTGCAATTCAGTCTGAAATAATAGAAAATATACTATTGACATCATATAACTGCTGGATTTCTAGTGGTTTAAGGATGGCAAACACGTAGAGGATTTCTGGAAATGCTTATGCCTGAGTAGGGTGTGTCGTAGCATGTATTGTAGAATAACATACATCCAGCATGTGGGGTTGAGTATCCAAACCCTTTGACAGCAGTTCACCAGAGTCAAGACTTCTGCATGCCTTTTTTTTTTAAGACTGAATCATGCTCATTAAAGCACACAGACTTTTTTGAAAGTACTGCTCTTTGGGAAGTTTCAGCTCCAGACTTGCTTCTTTTAACCAGGATGACAGCTTAACGTACTTGTTTCCATAATGCTCTTGTGGAACCTGAGGAAATTGTGTTTTCCAGCTCTGAAGAGGGCATAATGCTCTAGGGCTGGGGCTGGACAGTTTTCCTGGTCCATATGAGGTGCTTTATATTGTAGGTGCTTTTTCCATTCAGGCTAACTAGAAGAACAGGTCAACAACTTTTTTTAATGATAGTTGAAAGGGTGGGACACTGTTCTCCAGATATTCCACAACAATGCAGAACTCTATAATGCTTGGGCATTGAGGTTTCCTGTAGCTCTGTTTTTTTTTTTAAAAAAAAAAAAAAACACAATGCAGAACTCTGTAATGCTTGGGCATTGGGGTTTCCTGTAGCTCTGTTTTTTTTTAAAAAAAAAAAAACAACAACAACAAAACAGGTGATTTGGTTGCTAAAACACCAAGGAAACAAGAGGTGAGTCCCCTGCTCTGAAGGAAGGAGGGTGGGCAAATGCTTGGGGTGGTGACCAAGGGAACTGTCATGTCTTGATTGATTCCTTCTGTGGTCAGAGAAACAGGATTTCACATACATTGATCCTTAATCAATTGGACTGCCTCCATGAAGTACTGACGCCATCGCTTTCTCTTCCCAGCAGACAAAACTGTTGGAGCCCCCAGGAATGAAAAAAATGCCTGTTTGGATCAGAGAGGTTAAGCCTGCATTTTTTATTGGATCTCAGAAAGATCTCTATTTTCTAGGTTGAGAGAGATAGAAGAGAGGTTACATGGGTTAAAGGCATCCACCGTATCAAAACCACCTGTCTTAAAATTTAAGGTATGTATGTTCGAGAGGTTTTTTACTGAATGTTCACCTTGCTGTAAAAATACATCAGCGATATGAGTTACTCCACTTTTTTTTTTTCCACGTCCCTAGACATGATGTTGATAGAACAATTTTAATGTATTGGTTGAAGTGTGTGTATGTGTATATAAACATGCTACTGTATTCATATATTATTATTTATTACAAATATGCATGCTTATATGTAAATATATAAACCTGTATATGGATTGTTATTATATTATACACATGCACACAACTATGTGGGAAGGTAAAAGCCATTTGGCAAATTACATTAAGCAGGCATCTTAAACAATTTCACTCCTACTTTGTTGACTAATCCATTTTCCTTAGGGACTACTGCTAACATGTCACATCTCTGAGCAAATCTGATTGAATTTCTTCCAGCAGTGGATTTTCCTTCCAAATGACACTGCTTTGACGGTTAGCACCAGTTACTTTTTAGTCTCATGAAATAGATTGCTTGCTAATCAGCTGTATAAATTGCTACCATTTCCTATCACGGGGAAAAAGCATTTTCCAGCTTCTTGGTGAGATGCGCAACACTTTTTTAGTTGCTTGACTATATCCTGAAATATTACGCTGTAAAAATGTGACGTGATAGATGAGAAGAAAATAGGTTATTGTTTCTTAACTTGCCATTTTTCTTTCCTTCTGAGTTCAGAAGGACTCCTAAAAGCCAAGGTCAATCTTGAGCCATAAAAAAGAGGAAACTAACTATAATTCAATTTGTCATAGCCTTCTCCTTTTCATCGCTGCTCAAAAGCATGTATCGTGCTATTATCTCTGCCATCAAGGAAGCTGGAGTCAGGCTGATACTCCTCCAGCCCTGTGAAAGATTATTCTTCGCTCAGTTGTGTTTTAAACTGAAGATTTTTTGAACAGATACTTTTTAGAGGGAGCAGGAAAGGAGGGGAAAAGAAAGGGGTAAGAAGAGAGGACTGTCTCAACCCAAATTACTGCTAGGTCGTTTTCCATTGCGTTCCATTCTCCATTTCCTTTTTCTTACCCTTACTGAAAGGAAGATGTTTTGTTTCTATGAAGCTTTACACTCATGACTCCCATTGCTGGAGTACCGTGCCTGAGACAGCTCCAGGGGAAGAGAGGCTTTCCATGAACGTGATGGCAAAGTGCTTCTGCCGAGGGAAGATTTCAACTGGATGTCATCGAAAGATGATTGCTCATCAGCAAGCCAGCCCAGCTTGCTGAGGGCGACTACCCTGTTGAAAGAGAACTAACTGCTTCGTAGGTACCAACCACCAGCACCTTGGCTCTTCATGGCAGACCGGAGCTCTGGTTTGATCATGAGTTGCTATTATGAGTGCTTGATGGGCAAATGACTTCGGTCTGTGTGACACAGGAGACTGGAGTCTTTGGTCACTGATCTCCTTAGGGGAGAGTATTACACGACGAATTGGGGATGTACAGCTGTAATGAAAAAGGCTAGCCACTGCCGATGCCTCTTTTATGGACTGAAACAAATTAAGCTTCCCAGGATGAAAGTTGCAAGTCCTACATTAAGCAGAGATAGCTTTTGGCAAGACAAGTGTAAGAATAAATACAGCAGCTAACTTGGCTGGTATTTAATATTAGGAGAAATCTCTGTTTAACTGACCCATTGGAGGGGAAAAAAAAAAAAAACACCTTGAAGATCTGGAGTGTTTTGTACTCTGATAATGTATTGGACAAGCCACCAGAATGAGAACTTGAGGATGAGGTATCTTTATGGCTCGCTCTCCTCCACTTCTCCTCAGATGGCAGAATTGAATAAACTGCTAAATCATTAGGACCTGCGTGGGTTAAAAGCAAAGCCAACACCCCGTTGTAAATGTAAAGCTTAGAAGCTCAGCCTTCTCCCCACCAGCTGTGTAAGAGGAATCGGAGTTAAAGGCTAAAGGGGCTGAAGAACATGAAAACATGTGCAATACCTACCTCTTTATGATGCTGTGCTGCGTGAAAATAACGGTGTCGTGGGATGATTTTCAATCACGGTAGGGAAGAGGAGGGCAGGACCTACCTCAGTTGCTCCCTAGTACTGAGATGGAAATTCATTTAAATCTGGGCTCGTCAATGTGTCAGCCCAAAGTGCCTCAGGATTCCTTAGCATTTCTCATTCACCCAGGGTTACACAAACTTTTCTGGAAGAAGGTCCACTTGACCTGGTGGTTTCTATGTAGCATCATCTGACAGTGGTGTCAATGTTGATAATAGCTATCACAAATTATTTATAAGATGCTAGTGATTTACCACATGTACAAGAACTATGGGAGTTTAACAAGATGCTGATATGCAGCCTTATCTGAGAGGAGGAAGCCTTAACCTTTATGCAGAAATGTGCCGTAGTAGCTCAACATGCAACCGCCCAGTTAAATCCCCCGTGTAATACTGGTATTAAGGCTCTGTTCCCTTTGCTAAGGCTGCAGAACGTTCCTGGGTGCAGGAATGGGCAGCAGCTGCTGCAGAGGTCTGTGTCTCCTCACTCTGGGAGGATGTTTGGGATCCTCCAGGCTGAAAGGCAGCACAGAAACATAAATTATTATCCCCTTCCGTGTCTTCTGTTTTAACATCACCACTAAGCACATTCATTTGTTCCCCATGCTTCCCTATGCACAGAAGAGCTGTGCTGCCTCACTTCTATTGGCTCATTTGGCTTTTTTTTTTTTTATTAAATTCTGAAAATACTGCAGTCTTAAGTGGGATGGATGACTGTTTGGCTCAGCTCCTGCTTAAAATACAAATAAATTCATTAAGTCTTCTGTTTATGAATCATGCCCAGGAGAAAAGTGCTATCCTGAAAGGTCACCTTCTTAAATATTTCTCCGCTGTTGTTAAACATTTACAGGAGTATATGTGAAGTGGCCCACTCCTGCTTCTAGGAGAATCACCAACATTAATAAATGTTTTCCGGAATGATTTTAGTCCTCTATTCCCAGTAGGTTTCATGGCATGGCAGTCTTCTCTTCAGCCACTTTGCAACAGCGCTGAGAGTCTAATGGCTGCAATTTAAAGGACTTTATTTTTGGAAGATTTACTGTTGGGTTTTAGCATTCACTGCTTTGGTATTGGTCTGGTGCCACCTGTTAAGGTACCCACCAACTGGTACTTTGTAGGGCATTTCCTGAGATGGAAGACCATGTCGAAAGGCTTGTGCTTGTAAGAAAACACATAGCAAAGAACAGTGCCCTCCCAGGAAGAAAGCATTGGTCTGTGGACACTGTTAATCCTGTGTTTATCAGCAGAAACAATGGGACAAAAGCCAGGCACCACGTAACCACGGAAGCTCTTGACCCTTTGAGATTTTTGCCTGATCTGTAGTGACCTAAGGTGAATTTCGTGAAAACATCTTTTAAGCATCTGCTAGCAAGTCTAAGCTGGCAGTCACTTTCTGATTTTTTGCTAAAGTAGAAAGGCTGTAATTGTGTACCCCAGGCATTCGATACAGGAATATCAGATGCACAGGGCTAAAGGTTACTTATTCAGATTAAAGGATTGCACTGTCAGTATATGTTTTTATTGTATTTGAAGATGAGAAAGCTTTTTGTCCAAACTGCAGAAATGTCAGGGTCTCTGTAAAGCTTGATTATAAGACAGAAGAGCAGCTTTGTACGAGGCTAGGGTGACCATATAGATGGCAGAGCAGTGCTTTGCAACATAGGACATTGAATAGCTGTGCTGAAGACCTAGATTATTTTTTTTTCCCATTGAATTGGGACTTGCACATTCTTTTGGAAGGAAGAGGTGGGGTGCCAGTGCCAAGTCAGAGGAGGAGGAATGTTTTGGGCAGTTCTGGAATCTGCTAGATGAAACGGACCATTATTTCTACACCCTCGCTCCATGTGTTGACGTATAGCAAAGGCACATGGGAATCCAAGCATCCTCCGATGCACTTAGCAAGAACGCAGCAGTTGTTCTTACTGGCTAAGTAGCAGCACACTAGGAGTTGCTCAGTTGTAGTGCCCTGCAAACTGGGCGCGACTGTTGGGAAAGTTGCAGTGAAGGTCTGAGAACGGTAAAATTAATTTCTCTTTTACGAATATATTCTAAAGGTTAAAAAGTAATTTTGACTCACGAAAATATTTTTGACTACAGAGTTTTACATTTGATGTTTCTAGGAGACGATGTCTGAGGATTGGTAATGGGATATGAAGCCATTCACCTCTAGGTCACTGTTGAATCCCGGCCCAGGTTGGTAGTGACCAGAAGTCGTTGCCACTGATGCATGTTCAGTGACCTCTGTCAGATGGGTGAGCCGTTGCAGTTCAGGTTCACTCAACTGCCTCTCGGTGTTAAAGGCAGCCCTTGTAGAGCAAAAAGTCATGGTAGCTTTGGGCGGCATGCGAGCAGCCCGTGGAGTCGCTCAGGGCTGTACCTCTCCTGGGTAGTGGCTCCTCACATGTGACGTGGTGGCACTTTTGACAAACAACATTCCGTTCACTCAGCACTAGGTGTTTTTAAGAGGTTGTACGTAACATCAGCCTGTATGTGTGTGCGACTACTGTGAGTATCCTCTAGGTTGTCTTTAGTACTCAGTGTAGCTTGGGTTTCTACTTCATCGCTGGGTGTGTGTAGCAAAACAAATCATGGTGTACTTGGTTAGGGTAAGATAAGGAGCTGTGGTAAGCTTTGGGAAGTTTTATGAGACATCAGACGTCCATCTTGTGAAACTCATCACATTTCCTTAGCATTTTCCAAATTCTTCTTGCTCCAGCCTTTCCAGTGTTGGTGGACCTCTTTCAGTTCAAATATCTGACTTGTTTTTCAGTTTTCCAACTACATAGCACCACAACGTGTAACTCTCTTCTCACAGCAAATAGGAAACCTAACTTTCATGTTGTAGTATGTATATTGTAGTAGTCTTCCCCTTTTGACTTACTAAAACTATACGAGTCCCTCAGTTGAAACTGAGGTATCAGTTGAAAGAGAGAAATGAAATCCAGCCATGTTAGACAGCATTATTTCCATCCTTATTAACGTGGATGAAATCTCTCCTTAGGTTGAGAATTTCTTCTGTATGGGATCTCCATTAGCAGTGTTTTTGGCATTGCGTGGCATCCGTCCAGGAAACAGCGGTAGTCAAGATCATATTCTGCCCAGAACAATTTGTAACCGCTTACTAAATATTTTTCATCCAACAGATCCAGTGGTGAGTTTTAATTGCCGTTGCAAGCTTTTACCTTGACTATTTTTAAGCATCAGCTGTGTGATAATGTGTGGTCTTCAAAGCGCGCAAATCAGCGCAAGAATGTTCCAGCACATGAATATTTGTTGATGATTATTGTACAATGTCTTGGGTTTTGTAATTGTAGAATAACAGTTTCTACAAATAATTGCCTTAAATATCATATACTTTGCTTCTCTTTTCATATTAATAAGCATAAAGTTCGAGATGACTCTGCTTTTTTTTTTTTTTTTCTTGCAAAGGTGTAAGAAATAATCCTGCCTGGTCAAGTTCCAGCTTGTGTTTAACTTGCTGACTTCCATTAAACATAGGATCATAGAATTGTTTAGGATGGAAAAGACATCACCTGTCCAAAGACACTGCTGCTGTTACAAAAGGCTTCGCAAGCAGTTTACAAGAAAACCAAAATACACTGGGTTTTATCCCAAGAGGTCCAGCGTAACAGGTTGTTAGAGAGTGGGATAGCACCTGGGAGGGCAGTTTTGGGCATAGCTTTGCCCTGTCCTTATCCTCTTCCGTAGGGAGCCGGCATTCGCTGCTACAAAGGCAGGATGCTGGACCTTTGATCTGGATCACCTTGGCAACATAGAATCACAGAATCACTTAGGTTGGAAAAGCCCTTTAAGATCATCAAGCCCAACCGTTACCCTAACCCTGCCATCCCACCGCTAAACCCTGGCCCTAAGCAACATCTTCGATGCAAGCTTGATTTGGGATTTCGTGCTTACTGCAGAATGGTAATTTGGGGATAATTTTGTGTTTAAACTCTACCTGAATCTAAGTATATTCAGAGTTCAAGCCAAACATGCTCATCTCACGATCTTGGTCAGCTCCAGCTACTCCAAACCCAGAATTTTCCTGGGACATGTAGGACGATCGCTCAGGCTGCAGTCTGTGGTCCCACTCCGCAAATAGTAACTTCACTTAGTTATAAGCTAAGGAAGTGCAGGATGCTTTTTCTACATCTTGAGTAAACAAAGAGAAAGAAAGAATGAAAGAATGAATGAATGGAAAATTACTATTTTTTTTTTTATAAGCACACCAAATCATGGTTTGCACAGGGATCAATGAAGAGCCGTCAAACAAAATGTTTATGTAGCCAGTTCCTCCCTCTCTGCTGCGCTGGGCAGGATCAGTTTAACCATATAATAAAGTTTGCTCTGTCGATGCACAACAACAAGCATTTGTCATCAGTAACTGGTGTGTTCGTAACAACGTGTGGTAGGCAATGGGGCAGCTAATGCATCTTCCAGGCTGTGAAAATACAAGTGAACCAGAACATAACGCCACTATTCTGTCACTTTCTAGGCTTCATTCGTTACAGATATTACGGATTTTTGGTCGGAGAGGACTCTGTATGGGAAGGGAATGTGATTTTTCAGTTTTGCCACTCAGGATTTTCTTTTCCCAATTACTCTTGCAGGCCTATAGATTAGAACCTTTAATTCTGAAACACTACAGCAACATTTCGCCTGTCCAGATCCACTGGTACAACACTGCAAACCCTCTACCTTATGAACATATGAAGCCAAGTTTTCTCAACCCAACAAAAGAACCTACCTCAGTTACTGATAGCGAAAGTGTTTCGACTGTACCGAGCCCAACTACTTCACCGGTCATGGTTCGACGCCACTACGGGGAGTCTATAACGAACATAGGCAAAGCGAGTATATTAGGTAATTGTTCTTTTATATCCTTTTTTTCCCCTCTTTTTAACATAGGACTTCTTGTAGAGCTTCGCTGTTTGCAGTGCAACCGTAAGCAAGCTGTTCCTGGCTGTTTCGGTTTGTTCCGGATAGGTGTATGGCTTGTTTTAATCCCAACTGATACTTACTTTGAAGAAAAGACGGTTTACGTACGCTGGAGTCAAGGCTTTCAGGGAGTGGATGCGGGTCAGGGAGTTTGTGCTGTTGCTGCCTTATTGTTGCCTGCCTTATCAAAGTAACATCCTGGTGATTCAATGGTTTCCACTCTACTTCCTGGGAAAAGAAAAAAAAAAACTTGTTTTGTGACTGCATCTTCTGGTATTGGCAAATAGGAGAAAAATCACCCTATGTATGATACTACAGTTCCATGTAACTCATGATTTTACAATGAGAAATTCAGGCTGGTTTAATATGAAGTCTGTCCCCTTCTGGCTTTCTGATTCAAAATAAACCCTGGTTTAACTGGGCTTAAATTCACTTCACTGGAGCTTATATTTGAGCAAGTACTTGCCTTTTTTGTTGACTCAAGGCTTTTCTTTAGCTCTCTATGTGGGATTTGGATGAAGGCTAATGTGACCTAGTGCCAGGAATCCTCTCAATCAAACAAGTATAGAAAAACAGTTTAGTCCTTAAATGGAAATAGGTGGTATTTCAAAGCCGCATTGCTTTTTGACATGTTACTATAGTAACTTTAATGTCATGTCCATAAGGTGGCAGCAAAGTCAGGAGAAAACATCATGGATCTGTACTTGACTTTTCTACCCCTCTTCCTGAGCAACCAAACCTGTCCTTTTAAAGGATGGTATAGCACTCCTGAATGTCTGTCAGTGCTATGCCAACATAAGGACCCTTAACGGGAGGACTGTCTTAAATGTCCTGATGGGGTTATTATGTGTAGAAGGCACTAACGTCGTTATAAAGCATTTTTTGTCTTAATCTTGGACTTTTTATGAAAGAGGAATTACAACATAACCTTAAAAGTACCAGATTTCTTGCTGCAGAAGTGCTCTTATGTACTTCTGTTCCTCTAACTACAGTTTCCAAATTACAGCCTTTGCTTGCATGCCAGATTATTCTCATGATAAACAGTGTACACGTAAGTCAGATAAGCTGCTCCCACCCTAGAAAAGCATGAATAGTGTTTTCCTTCATCTGTCACTCAACTCTAATTGATGGGTGCTACAGTGAATTTGATTTGCGGTTTGATTTAGCTGCCCTTGTGCTTGCTTGTTTGTTTTTTCTCCATGCTGAACGCAGGAGCTGCGAGTATCGGGAAGGGCCTCGGCGGGATGCTTTTTTCAAGGTTTGGTCGATCTAGTACAACCACCCCACAGACGCTCGAGACGGGAAAAGACGGAGCTGAGGGGGACGACAAGAAGGCCACAACTGTGGGGACGCCGCCTTTAACGCACAGCAGCTCGGGCTTCCTCGAACCCGCAGGTTAGCGATGAGCCCACCTTACAAACCCCACGGAAACGAGACCTTTAGTGGGCTGCATCTGTGTGTGGTGGGAGGCTGGAAATGCCTTATCAGCGTATGCCGCTGCCTGATTTTGGTGGTTCACTCTAAAGTGATAAATATTGAATCCATTCCCGCTTTTTTTAATCTCTTAAGACTGACCAAGGACTGACTCGTTGTTGTCCCTTTTATCCTTTTTTCTTTCAAAGGAGTTCTATCTGTAATATGTGTTCATACATACATGTACACCACTCACTTGTATACACACGTATGAGTTTTGGCTAACGAGATCTGCATATCACTAGTTCCTAGATTCCCACTAGGAAAACCAGTATAATTGCTGCAGAAATCCCACTCACCATTTATCGTAAAATGGACCTATTTACAATTTCCCCATGCATTTGCAATTCTGAAGCGATCTGGATTTAAAGGCACATATGAATCACAGAATCCCAGACTGGCAGGGGTTGGCAGGGACCTCGGGAGCTCACCCAGTGCCACCCCCCTGCTCAAGCAGGCTCACCCAGAGCAGGGGGCACAGGACAGCGTCCAGGCAGGGGTTGAATATCTCCAGAGAAGGAGACTCCACAGCCCCCCTGGGCAGCCTGGGCCAGGGTTCCGTCACACTCAAAGTCAAGAAGTTCTTCCTCTTATTCAACTGGAACCTCTTCTGCTTCAGTTTGTGCCCATTGCCCCTTGTCCTGGCGCTGGGCACCACTGGGAAGAGTCTGGCTCCATCCTCGTGACCCCCACCCTTGAGATATTTGTACGTGTTGATGAGGTCCCCTCTCAGCCTTCTCTTCTCCAGGCTGAACAAGCCCAGCTCCCTCAGCCTTTCCTCCTAGGGGAGATGCTCCAGTCCCCCCATCATCCTTGTTGCCCTCCTCTGGACTCTCTGTAGGAGTTCTAGGAGTATGACGGGAAAGAGAAGCTGCCCTTGTCCTGATCTGAACCACTCAGAACAGAAAGCACAATTTTAGCAGCTGGGGGGTTTTTTTGGAAAAGTATAGGTACTTCCTTTACAGAAATTCCTACTTCATTTTATTTCTAAACCTCTCATTGGCACTGTTGCGAGGCGGAGGTTTTTTGCAATCTAAGGAGTCACAAGTGTGTTGTATCTTGTGATAGCGTTCACATGATAACGCTGCTGGCCGTTCATCACTGCTAATTTCAACAGATAACCTGCCTGAGTCAGTCGCTGAGGACAGAGACTTTGTTTTAAACTTGAGGAAAGTAGCGTGGCATGGCAGAAAATATTGCGGAGCTGCCGATGAGGTGCTTTTGGGGAGGGGGGTTGGCATGTCATGGGCCTTCTGCACAGTTCCTGCATCCCTCTCTGCTGAGAGCCCGGCCCTGCTCCACGGAAGGAGGACGTGGAGCAGAGGCCGGCGAGGCTGCAAGCAGAATGATGCAATCCGCCGCCAAAGTATTTGCTTCTGAGAGGGCGGCCGCGCGGCTTGTGGTGGGGCTTGGCTGCCTCCCAAGCTCCTGTAACGGCCTCTCGTCAGAGGGAGACCGAGTCGATCGGGGCGTCCTTCCTGCAGGGCGACTGCTTTCTGAATGTCCGTGTCCTCATGGCAATGACTGCGGTTGCCTCCCGGTGTTGGAAGGCTCCGACTCCCTCTCCTTGCTGCCTTCGCGAAGCGCTGCGATGCTCCTGTGAAAAGACCAAGGGGGGTGGGGGGGGTGGTGTCGTCCCCCGAGAGCCGCTGTGCCGTGACCGCCGAGGCGGCGCTTGTGCGATGCTCCCTTTGTGCGCTCTCCGAGCCAAGAATTAAAATTCCTTGAAACTGGCTTTGAGAAATGGCCGCATTTTTTACTCAATATGGGGTTTTGGCTTTTGTAGCTAAGCAGGCTTTTAGTCTTGTCCTTTTTATTCTCTTGCTCCTTGTAGAGATTTTCTAACCGCTCCAGTGCCTTAACAATAGGTTAGCCATTGGCCCCGTTAAACATGCAGTGAAAATTGCTTTGAATGTGGTATTAATCAAAGCAGCCATTGAAATGAAAGGATAACTGCTGAGATGGATTTGGAATAATCTGGAAGCAAAAAGGGCCAGTGCTGCGTAGGGACGGCTGGTTTTCAGAAAGGGCTTGTAATATCGGGTGTAGTCTCCGTGTATAGCCACTAAAGAGGCGAGAAGTCCGTTTATTTCAGAAAGTTCTGAGCATCCCCCATCTGCAAGTCAATGTTTCCTAACGGGGCCTCAACATTTGCTGGTTAATTCTGTGTAGTTATCACAGGGAGCATAAATAAATGTGTTTATGTAGTTACTATAAGGAAAACAGCTGCTTAAAAAAATGCCAGCTTTTCCAAGTTTTAGTTTTAATTTGGTTTTTTTTCTTTCCCCTGGAGCAA